TCGGCCCAAACCCCTTTATCGTAAACCCTAAACCCATTTTCGGTTAGAGGTTTAGTTAGAGGATCCGATCGTGAGAGATGGGGGCAGAGAGGTTGAGAACCGAAGAGTGGAGGAGCGGTTTCCGATGAGAATTTTGCGAGCAATTCTGGTGAGTGAGAAGCCCTTTCCCCTTTATAATTGGCTGTTTTCGGTGGGCATCGTGGCTTAGAGTGTCGAGCCGACCTCCAACCTTGAGGCGTGGTTACCTCGGGTCAATATTGCACCAAGGATCTGAGCCGAAAACTATGTTGTCTCTGTGGCCGATGAAATCAAGAAAAAGAAGGTAGTCTATCAGAGGTTTGGAGTTGTTCGTTGACTATCGGACGTCAGGCTTGAGTTTGGACTGCTGGTACTGTTGTTTGCCACCATTGGTTTTCCGGAAAGAAACTGCTGCCGGAGAAGATGACTGAAGCTGAAGTTCATAGCCAAGTCGTAGTTGTTCGTCATCGAACAAATTGAATCTCGGTTGAATCTGGATTTACACGAACATGTTTGTTTGGTAAATCCAAAAAGATCCGGGAATAAATTCACAACAGTGGTATCAGAGCCCGAAAATCAATTCTGAAATTGAAAGAAAATATGATTCGAGTTTGGTAGGACTCGATCTGTGGTAAAAGGCTAAACCCTCATCTTTTTATTTTCTCGGTATATTATTATTTTGATGAATCTTGGTGAAATTGTTGATAAATAATACGTTGAATTTTTTGGTGTTTGATTGGCTATATGTTCCTTGGTGATTAGATTGAACAATCTTGGAATATGTTAGTCTTTCGTTGATATTCTTGAAAAATATCTTAGATATTATTTTTAGGTTCCTTGATTATATGCTCGGTGTATTTCTTAGGTTATATTGTTGTTGTTAGCCTAGTGAAATCCTTTAGAGTTTCTATAGCTTTTTGTTGTAGTAGAATGCATGCTAAATCTTTACTTTATGTGTTAGATATTGCATGTTAGGTGTTAGTAGAATATGCCTAAAAAGAATGAATAATTGGAAGATAATCAAGAATACTTTGTTTTGTATGCTATGTGATTAGTTGTTTGTTATGGCATGATTTGATTGTTTGCTTTGTGATTATACTCCCGGTTTTTCTTTCTTTTTTTTTTTTTTTGTGGTAGTGTCCGATCAAACTAGGTGCTTAGTGTTTTGCTTTCCGTCTATTCATTTAGTGTTTTTCTAGGGTTATCTTTGTTCTTAGTTGCTGAGTATTCCTCTAGGTTTCGTCCTAGTTGCTTAGTGTTCTTCTAGGTTTCCTTTTAGGTTGTTGAGTGTTCTTCTAGGTAGGATGTCTGAGTGGTTGTGTCTCCGGAAATCTTAGTGTTAGTGGTTGATCGATCCAAGTTCTTAGGTTGTGCTTAGTCCGAAGAGGTGTGTGCTAGAGCCGGAGTGCCTAAAGTTTTCTTTGTGTCTAGTGCTGAGTGTTCACTAGTATAGACGTCGAATAAGGTGGAGCTCCTGTTGTGTGATTCTATGTTTTTGTATTCGGCATATGTTTGCTTTCGTTTGTGAATATGCATGTATGTTGCTTTTTTTGTAGTATTTGTATGAACTATGTGCTAGGTTGCTATGTGATCTATCTAGGTGTATGATAGGATCTATTTGTTATATGTGTGATGTATTTTATCTGCATAAGCGCTTGTTCGTAGATGCAGCGAGGGACAAAAGACGATGATGAAATCCATTGGTGCAAAGTAAGTCTATATCTAGTAAATACATATTTTAGGATTTGGTTAAATCACGGCCAAAATAAGTGGAGTATGTTGGGAATTTTGGCCGTTCGAGGCCTAACTAACAAGTCCCTTAATAAATAAATAAATTGGCCCACTCCTTAGCCCAGCCCACCAGGTCGGCCCAAACCCCTTTATCCTAAACCCTAAGCCCATTTTCGGTTAGAGTGGTTACATTAGTTTTGGGGTGTGAGTCCATTTTAAGTTTTTCATCAAAGGGAGAATCCGTGTGAGGTTTAGTTAAAGGATCCGATCGTGGGAGAAAGGGGGCAGAGCGGGTGAGAACCGAAGAGTGGAGGAGCGGTTTCCGACGAGATTTCCGCGAGCGATTCCGGTGAGTGAGAAGCCCTTTCCCCTTTCTGATTGGTTGTTTTCGGTGGGTATCGTGATTTAAAATGTCGAGCCGACCTCTAACCTTAAGGCGTGGTTACCTCGGGCCAATATTGCACCAAAGATCTAAGCCAAAAACCATGCCGTCTCTGTCGCCGGTGAGATCAAGAAGAAGAAGGAAGTCGCGGTTTGGAGTTGTTCGTTAATTGTTGGACGTCAGGCTTGAGTTTGGACTGCTGATACTGTTGTTCCCCGCCGTTGGTTTGCCGGAGGGAAGCTATTGCCGGAGAAGATGACTGGAGCCAAAATCCATAGCCAAGTCATAGTTATTTATCGTCGAACGAATTAAATCTCGGTTAAATCTGAATTTCCAAGAACAAGTTAGGTTGATAAATCCAAAAAGATTTGGGTATAAATTCATAACACCTACTAAACGCAAACACGCCATGTTTTTAAAGTTTATAAAGTTTAACGGCTTTTATATAAGTCGCACATTTAATTATGGACTGAAGAAATAGAAACAATAATTTAAATAATTATAAAGATGATTCAAATAAATATAACTTCTATAGGTAATATATATAATACTTGTTCAATACATTGAAATTAAAAGCTAAGAATGGAAAATTAAATTCAAAGATCTTTCCATTGAGAAATATAAATAAATTTACATTTGCGTGCAATCGTACATAACCTATAATTTTTAATATTTTCTTAGCAATTTTCTATTCAATTTTGTATGAAATATTCATGGCTAATTCTTAATTGCAAGCAAAGCAATAATCCCATGCGGCGACCTTACCCTGCACCCCAAATTCCAACCAATAGAGACACAACCAATGTATTAAACCCTTGGAAGAATTCTCAATTGTGGTTTTTGTTTGTGTTTTAATTTGAAATTATTATTTGAATGTTTCATTAAACTCCTATTTTTTAATCAACATTACTCATCAAAGTTTTCGTTTTTAATTTTTAAAATTATCAAATTAAATATTTATTTTTATTTAATATATTTTACATACAAAAAATAATTTTTTATTAAAAATATTCAAATATTTTTAATACAAATTTTTACTATTCATAGACTCAAATTCAAATGCAAAATTAGAATATAAAATGTGTGCTGTTTTGTTAGATTGGATGAATGTTTTCTTTTTTCTTTCATGTTAAGTATAAAAAAACTATAAATATAAAAAAATAATAGGTAAGTTCAACTAATAATTTTTTACTGATACGTCCCGGTAAATATTAATAAAAAATATTACATATACACATCACGTAATATAAATAATATATACTTTATTCTCTAATAAAAAATTAACAAGTCAATTTCAAATATTAATTTTTATGATATTGACATATATCCTCATATATCACATAAAAAATACTTCAAATTAAAATGCTAAACAAATACACATAGGGTGTGTTTGAGATTTGGGGACATAGGGTGTGTTTGAGATTCGGGGAAATTTGAGTTTGGATTTGGTTTTTATTTGAATTTTGAGTTACGTTTAAATTTTGATGTTTCTTTATATTTAGGTTTGATTGGGATTTAGAGAGTTTTGATACGATTGATTTGATGAGTAATAAATATAATAATATAAATGTGTATAATAAGAGTAAAATTTAATTATGAATTTATATCATATCTAGGTATATATTTCTAAATTCTTATTTATTTGTATTATAAAAAGTTTTTTATTCTCTACAACATATATATATTGTATATATTTTATTAAATTATATATATTATAAAAATTATAATTTACATTTATAATTTAAATTTAAAAAAAATAAAAAAAAAAAAAAAAAAAAGACATGAACAACCAACCTACTCTTCTAGGCGTGTGAGACGTTGTCTCGTAGGCATGATATCGCACATTTTCCCTCCTGAACAGTGTCCTCCAAACTTGTTCTAAAGAAACACATCCATAATATTTTACGTAAATTGTTGACATTTTGTGAATATATCATATATTATATTGTGTATAAATTATATGTATATATTTTATTTTTATAATGTTTATAACAAATTATGAGTTTGTTCATTTAGTATTTTTGGATTGATATATATATATATTTTATATTAAATACAAATAATTATATTGGTAATATAAAATATAATGTTTTATTTTAAATTATAATTTTTTTGTGAGTATATAAAAATATATATTGTTTGATTGCGTGTATATTAATTTTAAATAATACTATATGAATAAACTCATGTTAATTAAAAAATGATTAGATGAAGACATCCATGTTTTCAAATTATTAAAATACTAGAATTTTCAATAAACCCGCAATAGCGAATTCCTTTGGATCGGAATGCATGGAACTTTAAATCACTAAAACATAATATTCATTAAACACAATATAAACTACTCTCTCCATATAAACTACTCTCTCCGTCCCAAATAATTTCTTCATATTTTTTATTTTTTTTTGTCTCATATAATTTGTCAATTTTCTTTTTAGAAAAATAATTGAACACTTTAATCACATTTTAAATTCTAAATTTTATAATTTTTTTAATCTTAATTAAACTATTTAATTATTTTAATTTTAATTTATAATTATTTTTATTAATTAATAAATTTTTTAATTACTTACTAATTATATTTTACCTAAATTCTCCTAATGATAATACGCTCATATTATGTCGGACTGATGGAATAATACTTTTGGAACATATGTATATATATATAAAACCTTAAATTATTAAAATACAAATATTTAAAAAACTCAAAGTTCCTTTGGAACAGACGCGGCAGCTAAGTATATAAATACACACTTTGTTGTCTATTTCCTTCCCTCGCAATTCACACGCTTCTCCTTCTCTCCACGCTTCTTTTTTTTCTCTCTCTCTCTCTCTCTCTCTCTCTCTCTATATATATATATATATATCAATGATCATATCATGACACTTAATTATTTCCTAAGACATCATGCAAGCGATCAAAGGGGAGGTGATGCAGAAACTAAAAATGGCCATCAAGAAGATCAAGATTCTCCTAAACTTGGCTTACAACAATTGGAGAGTGGCGGCGGCGACGGCGATTTCCGGGAGATCGACGACGAGAAGGTTGAGCTTTGGCGACAGGCCGGGATTGAGAGCCTATGTGGCCGAGGATGATGACGATTATGATGATATTGATGGCCTAGATTTGTGCCATGATCATGGATCCACTGAGTCGAGTTGGAGAAGAAGTCGCCGTCTCCGCCGTGCAATGCGCCGTTGGCCGGAATACGACGTCGACATTGACGTTGACCGGAGGGCTGAAGCCTTCATAGCAAACTTTCACAACCAACTCAAGTATGAAAGACAGATTTCTTTGGAGTGTCTCAATATTTAGGATAGTATTTGTTACCCAGTGTTTGTTTGTAGGTTTTAGTTTTGGGATTTGGATTTTTGAATAGTAAAAAATTAAATTTGAATGGTTGTTTGATGTGATATAAGTAGAGATTGATGTAATCCTTTGAATGTAAAATAAATTTATAATATAATATAAAAAAGATAAAATAATTGTTTAATTTGATATTTTAGAAAAGAAAAACTTGAATAATTAGGGTTTTAAGATTATTTTACCTTTTTTCTTGTTTATTTTTTTAGGTAAATAGTTGTAGATATAGTGTTTTATATTACAAATGTATTATTATTGTACACTGCGTAGTATACAGATGTATAAGGTATAATTAATATATGGATGCTACGTGGTCTTTATTGTTTCTTTCATTTGCTATAAATACACATGCGTTCATTCAATTAATGCAAGAGACAATCGATTCACTCATTCTCTCACCTCTCATCCCTCTCTCTCTCGTATACATTTTGTCTCTATTATATTATAATACATGAATATAGATACTACACTAATATATACATACATATATCTATACTTACCAATATTTTATTTATTATATAACAATTATTAATTTTTAGAACAAATGAGATTGTATAATAAACATATTGAAAAGAAATTGTGAAATTAAATGAGATTATATAATAAACAAATGAGATTATACTCTTGCATTATCGCATATTTGACGGTGAAAGATCCACTTGATTTGTGGAATGAATTGATGGAGAGATTTAGACACTAGAAATATATCACTGTCCCGAAAGCACAACATAATTGGCTTAACCTGCAGTTGCAGGATATTAAAACTGTTACAGAGTACAACCTGCTATCCATCAGATTACATCTCAGTTAAAACTCCGCAGAGAAAATGTTACTGAGAATGATAAATTGGAAAAGACTCTCTCTACTTTCCATGCTTCTAATGTTGTGCTGCAATAACTGTATCGTGAGAAAAACTTTCAAAAGTACTCACAGCTCATAGCATGTCTTTTATTAGCCGAGCAAAATAATGAGTTACTGATGAATAATCATCAGTCCCGGCCCACTAGTTCCAGTTTGTTCCCTGAAGCGAACTTGACATTTTCTGAACAAGGCCGAGGACGTGGTAGAGGCCGTGGACGTGGTCGCGGTCGTGAGAGTCAATGCGGTCGATATACCCCTTACAATCACCGCGGTTTTGATATTAACAGGAAGCAGAGTAAACCCCAATATGGGGATATAGCCGAAAAGGCTAAATAGAGAAAAAGCTAAATCGGCATTTGTAATCGGTGTGGCATTGAAAGCCATTGGGCCAATACCTGCAGAACAGCCAGACACCTAGCCAATCTTTATCAAGCCTCACTGCATAAAAAGGAGAAGGAGGTCGAGACTAATCATGTTGATAACGATGACGACCCTAATGATGATCTTCTATATTACGACACGACGCATCTTAATATATCGGATTTTGTCGTAGATCCAACAAATCCCCAGTGACAGACATACTATGTCATTTTATATTATGCTATTTTATATTTTGTAATATTTAAATTATCGCATATTACCTTTTTTTAATGCATTTTATAATACTTATATTTGCCTTTATTAATACTACGTTTATTTATATTTGAAGGTTAAATGAATGCCAATCAAAATTCATTGACAGTGCAACGACACATACTATATTGAAACACGAAAAATATTTCTCCCATTTGAAAAAGGAAAAGAATGAATGTCAATACTATAAGTGGCAGTGCAAAATTAATTGAAGGCTCTGGAGAAGCCATTATATTTCTCCCCGTGGGGACGAAAATTGTGATACAATATGCATTGTTGGCCACTAAAGCTCGAAAAAATTTACTGAGCTTTCATGACATTCGGAAAAATGGTTATCACATTGAAACTATGAGTGATACCGATGGTGAATTTTTATTGATCACCAATATCATTGATAAAATGAAATGCATCATCGAAAGATTACCTTCACTCTTTATTGGCTTATATTATGCCAAATTAGGTGTTTTTGAAACACACCCCACGTAAATCAAAAGACTACCGATTTTCAAATATGGCATGACCGCCTTGGGCATCCTGACAGTATAATGATGAGGCGAATAATTGAGAATTCGCATGACCATTCATTAAAAGGTCAGAAAATGTTAAACTCAAATGAGTTAACTTGTGTTACCTGCACTTAGGGAAAATTGATAACCAGGCCATCGCCAACTAAAGTAGGTATTGAATCACCTATATTTTTTGAAAGAATACATGGGAATATATGTGGACCAATAGACCCACCGTGTTGGCCATTTAAATATTTTATGGTGCTTATTGATGCATATACCAGATGGTCACATGTTTGTTTACTATCTACTCGCAATATGATATTTGCGAGATTACTTGCCCAAATTATTAAATTACGAGCACGATTCCCTGATAATCCAATTAAGACTATACGTCTGGATAATGCTGATGAATATTCATCGAATGTATTTGGCGATTATTGCATGTCGATTGAAATTAATGTAGAACACCCAGTTGCTCATGTTCATACACAAAATGGCCTGGAAGAATCACTTATTAAAAGATTGCAATTGATTTCTAGACCATTACTGATGAGGTCTATGTTGCCCGTATCAGTTTGGGGGCATGTAATCTTACATACAGGAACACTATAAGAATGAGGCCGACAAGCTATCATAGTTATTCCTTAATGCAATTAGTATTTGGTTACGAACTAAATATATCCCATCTACGTATTTTTGGGTATGCTGTTTATGTCCATATTCCACCCCCAAACGTACAAAAATGGGTCCTCAACGTAGATTGGGCATTTATGTCGGATGTGAATCGCTGTCAATTATAAAATATCTTGAACCTATGACGGGTGATTTATTCACTGCAAGCCTTGCAGATTGTCATTTTGACGAATCATATTTTCTGACATTAGGGGGAGATAGAAATGAACTGAAAAGGGATATTATTTGGAAAAACCCATTGAAGTTTTGTGATCTTTGTACAAAGTAGTGTGAACTAGAAGTTCAACGCATTATACATTTGCAAAATATTACAAATCAGTTACCGGATGCTTTCAATGACTCGAGCAAAGTCACTCGATCATATATCCAAGCTGTTGATGCCCCGACTATATTAATTGTCCCTGATGGACAAATTGCAAGTGCTAATGAATTAGAGACACGTTTAAAGCGTGGTAGACCACTCGGTTCCAAAGATAAACATTCTCGAAAGAAAAGAGGAATAAATAATGATAATCATGAAAATATCAGGAATGACATTGATAAACCTCAATCTAATGAGGAAGTCAACCCTGAAATAATTGCTCCAGAAAAGCACGATCTTGAAGAACATGATGAGATTATTGAAAACTCAATCAACTATGTTACTTTAAGAAAATATTGGAACCGTAAAGAAGCAAAATTATTGATAATGCCTTTGCATACAGTTTAGCGTTTGATATAATGGAAGAAAATGAGGATCCAGAGCCAAAATTGGTTCATGAATGTCGGCAAAGAAATGACCGGCCAAAATGGGAACATGCGATTCAATCAGAGCTTGAGTCATTAAACAAAAGAGAGGTCTTCAGACCAATTTTTCATACACCAGATGGTATAAAACAGTTGGATACAAATGGATGTTTGTACGAAAAAGAAATGAATATAATGAAATTGTGAGATATAAAGCCCGTCTTGTGGCTCAGGGATTCTCACAAAGACTTGGAGTAGGTTTTGATAAAACATACTCTCCGGTTGTTGATGGAATAATATTTAGATACCTTGTGAGCCTAGCAGTGCAAAAAAAGCTCAATATGCGTCTTTTAGACGTAGTTACTACATATCTTTATGGCTCCTTGGATACTGATAATTATATGGAAGTTCCTTAGGGATTCAATATGCCTGAAGCATACAAATTATACCCAAGGAAATCATATTTCATCAAATTGAAAAAGTCATTGTATGGATTTAAATAATCAGGGAAAATGTGGTATAACCGTCTCAACGAATGTTTAATAAAAGAAGGTTATACTAATGATCCAATATGCTCATGCGTCTTTATCAAGAAAAATGGATCAAATTTTGTCATTATTGCAATATATGTTGATGATGTCAATTTAATTGGAACTTCTGAAGAGATCCAAATTACAGTTGAATATTTAAAGAAAAATTTTGAGATCAAAGACTTTGGAAAGAAAAAATATTGTCTGGGATTACAAGTGGATCATGTTAATAATGAGATATTTATTCATCAACCCATATATACCCAAAAGGTATTAAAACAATTATATATATATAAATCTCACTCTCTGAGTACACGAATGATGGTCAGATCCCTTGATCCCAGTAAAGATCCATTTAGGCCAAGAGAAGAAAATGAAGAAATACTTGACCCCGAGGTACAATATCTCAGTGCTATTGGCACATTAATATACCTTACAAATTGTACCAGGTCAGATATATCTTTTTTAGTAAATGTACTGGCCAGGTTTAGCGCATCCCTCACAAAGCGCCATTGGAATGGTATTAAGCACATTTTTCGTTATCTTCCCTAAACCCTAAATCCGATTGAATCTCGAACTAAATTGATTGGTTATGCTGATTCTGGTTATCTGTCTAATCCATACAAAGCAAAATCTCAAATTAGTTATTTATTTACTTGTGGTGGAACTGCAATCTCTTGGAGATCTGCTAAACATACGATAACAGCTACTTCTTCAAACCATGCTGAGGTTTTAGAAATTCACGAAGCCAGTCGTGAATACGTTTGGTTGAGATCTATGACTTTCCATATTCAGAAAAATTGTGGCTTGATTACCGATGATATATTACCTCCTACAATATTACTTGAAGATAATGCAGCTTGTATAGCTTAATTAAAAAGAGAATATATTAAAGGCGATCGGACAAAGCACATATCTCCGAAGTTTTTTTTTCGCTCACGATCTTCATAAAAGTAGTGAAATTAATGTGCAACAAATTCGATCATCTGAAAATTTTGCAGATTTATTCACAAAGGCGCTACCGATTGCAATATTCAACAAATCGGTACAAGAAATTGAAATGCGTCGGATGAAAGACATCAAATAAAGTCCAAAACAGGGGGAGCACATTAATATAAAAATGATTTACTTTTTTTCCTTCACTATTATTTTTTCTCAGAGGGATTTTTCATAGTAAGGTTTCAAAGAGGCACATTCTTTGTATAAAGCATCCAAAGGGGAGTGTTGTACACTACGTAGTATACACATGTATATGGTGTAATTAATATGTGGATGCTACGTGGTCTTTATTGTATCTTTCATTTTCTTATAAATACACATGCGTTCACTCAATTAATGCAATAGACAATCAATTCACTCATTCTCTCACCTCTCATCCGGCTCTCCTTCTCTACTATACGGCTCTCCCTCTCTACTATACATTTTCTCTCTATTATATTATAATACTAATATATACATACATATATATATACTTACCAATATTTTATTTATTATATAGCAATTATTAATTTTTAGAACAAATAAGATTGTATAATAAACATATTGAAAAGAAATTGAGAAATTAAATGAGATTATATAATAAACATATGAGATTATAATCTTTTTACTAGTGAATTTTCAGGTCGAACATAAGGTTTTTAAGTCGTGAAATTAAATCAAGAAATTATACTAATGAAACGCAACGGGAAAGCAGGTAAGTGGCTCACTTGTGCATGAGCCAAGAACAAAAATACACTAGAATGGAATTTAAAGAAAGTAAGTAAAGATGCGCAGTTGGTGAGCAAAAGCGAATGAGCGATGGCTGCAGCGAGAGCGGTTGGTGAGCGGAAGTGAATGGATGAAATAAGAGCGGTATATATCTATATTAATAGGAGCGAACGATAGGAGTGTACATAAAATGTTGTATGTGATCTGTGCATTCCTTAATGGCTAGAAATACATGGATGAAGCGAGCGAGTGATGTTAGTGAATAAGTGAAAACATATACATATAACCACGTAAGTGACAGGAGAAAGGCATGTAATTGTATGAATTGATTAACACAAAATCTTAAATTGCTGATACTTGACCTTAAGGGATTTACAACAAGACTTCAATGACACATATATTTAAAACATTATAAGCAAGAAATGCTACTGTCACTAGACATTTCTGTGACCCAATAGACAAGCGCCTATGCGCTTTTAATTATTCTAAATTTTGTCCCATTAGTGGTTTACTCTTCTGTTACCTCTCTTTAACCAGAATCGAATTCAGAACAGAAGCTAAGCAGGTCGAAAAGGCTCTCACATACTTAACTACATTGAACTACCTAGAATCTGTGACCGGTCGCGCCGTTATAGTTATCAACAAGCTCCGACAACCAATTTTTCCTTACAGTGTAGGTAATTAAGATACGACCGTTAACTGCCCCTAATTAAGCTAATAAACCTAGGTGTGCCCATAAGAAATATTGCCTAATCGCATTCTAATTTAGAAAAACCCAATTCAAAACAATTACTACCTAAGAGAAGCAATTAGATTTGATTGTCTAACCCTCGGGAATGAACTATTCAATCTGGTTGTCACCTATTCAAGTGCGAATAGAATTACGAATATCCTACCTGAATTGACTTTAGATTATCAGACTAATTTAAATATCGGTACCAAAATATCCAATCAATCTAACAATCACAATCATTATTTTCAGGATTAAACAAATATTGATAATAAAAAGAACTTTTATAAAGTAAATAAAGAATCTCCAAAACATAAGAACCAAAACATTATTATCATTCATATCAGAAAAAATATCTACTTCATAATCAAATAACAAAGAACAATAGAGAAAGATAAAGTCATAGTAAGAGGGGAAATCTTTTCTGTCGATTTGCTCATGTGCAATTTATGAGTTTGTTAGTCTTCTGCCCTTGTGCGTATCTGCTCTTGCCATCTTCCTCGTGTCTGCGTGTGACTCCACCTCATTTTATTTAATTTTTGCTCTAGTTATTTGTAGCTTGGCTTTTGGGTCTTTAATTAAATTCTCATGTCACGAGGGTGTGGTTAGTCATAGTCATGACTAACTTCATTGTCCAATGTTGATTTTTTTTTTTTTCTCCAAATTCACCAAATTTGTCTTTTCTTTCCTGCATGTCAGAAATAAACAATACGCACATAAATTAGGTAGAATCCAATCAAAATCAATCAAATATCACATATGATATGAACATAAAACGCATGCGATTTTTAGCTATCAATTCTCCCCACACATAGATCATGTTGCCCTCAAGCATAGATTCCAAATAAGCCAAAGAAATCGCAGACGACTCAATATGACAAGAGAATCCAACACAACCATTTCAATTCGAACTTCAACACTTCAAGTCAAGTCAACCTCACAAGATAAAGTGTATACGCACATGCTCTCTGAAGAAATAAGTGTATAATTGGCTCAACACTCAGGTAGAGCAACAAAAGATTATCCTATAGGCTTGAGTAAAAATCAAATCTCCTTTGCTTAAAATATTCAAATCTAACATAAAGAATCAAATGGACTTTCAATAAGGGTTGTAGCGAGGCTTATGGTCAGGGAAAGAAAAAAAGACATACAAAGGCTATGGTATGTCAGAAATGAACACGATGCTTACACATGAAAAAAAAATTCTGCATAACAATGAAACCCTTATTTTATTCACTACCCAAACTTCAATAACGTAATTATATAACAATACTTCATCAAGATGATTATTTTTCTTTTTTTCTTTCTTATTTTATTTTTTTTTCTGTATTTTTGTATTTTTTTTAATTTGTTTTTGGCATTTTCCTTTATATAAATTTCACTGCCCATAATTATTTCTGCATACCATGACTTATTCGTACCCAAATTTTGTTTCTAACTAGAGCCGAAGAAATAAAGTGCATCACAACATGGACTTAAATAATTCTTTCTAACATAGGGTTCAAATCGGAGAAGGGAATGGGGCTAAAAGACAATTTATTATAAAAGGGAAAAAAAGGCTAAGAAAGCTCAAATTGGCTAACTAGGGGAATATATTGTGCTGGGTGCTTAATGGGGTTACCTAATCCCTTATCATTTTCAAAACACAAGACTCGATAGTTACAAGTTCAACATGCATAATTACTCAAGTTCTAGGTCATCTAATTGAACACTATATATCTCACAAGAAAGAAATTTCCAAGAGCTTGAATATATATAATTTATTTTCTAATATAACTTTTGGAACAAAGGCTCAAATCTCACAGGGTTCAAACGCCGACTTGACTCAACATATCACCAATCAAATGCCATTAGTCATGCTAGACAAACCTATCACACAAATAACCTTTGACTCACTTCAGAATAATATAAAAAACATGTGAAAGAATAGCGAATCAGGCATAAAAGTAGCAAAAAATGGAAAAATTTGCCCAAATGAAGTATGCATTGTCCTCAATATAAAAAGAAGTAAAATAAGAGAGGGACTCAAATGAAGTCCGTAAGGGGGTAGAGCAGTTTCGAGCTTTGCCAACGCCTCTTCATTTGATCGTGCACCATTTCTAGGGAGGCTTGAAGTTTATCCTTGCAAAAGGATTAGCCAAACGCAACAATGTATCCAAACAAAGTAATGCACTTACTGAACAAAAAAAGCAATCACAACAACCAAAACAAAATTTTCAATAGAAGAAATTGAATCACTTAATCTATGATCAACCCACACAATGCCTAAGGTTCCCAATTTGCCAAAGAAATAAAAAATCATTACACACCGATCGACTGAAATAACAAGAACATAGAGCTGCATGTTGGGATTTTAACAAATCGAGTTCAAATGCAGTTTAGAAGAGCACCAATATAATAAATTCAAGGCAGAGTATCCCAACTAGAATCGAACAAATCAAAGCCTAACCAGATGTTTAACAAGCCACAATCAGCAATAAACAATGAAGCATAGAACCAAAATCACAAAACACTGGATGGCTAGGAATTCTAACAAAAGTCTACACTTTCAATCCCAATATCTATTTCACTAATCCAACAATTATCCTAAAAACTGGAAGTGTTGTATCAAAGGAAGATGGAAAAATATTACTCAATCGAAGGATGAAGGACTAGGGCAGTGGTCAGCGGTTCACGGCGGCGATTGTCGACGATGGTTGAGTCGCAGGAGCAGGAGTGATTGTGGAGCGGCTGAAGAAGAGGAGGTGCAGACGGGGAAGATTCGGCCGGCTGGAATCGGAGGAACCGGTCTGGAATCGCGGTGAAGCGGTTCGGCGAGGGCGCGCAACGGCGGTGCAGATCGCGGCGTCGGAGGCGGCGAGTGGATGGCTGTCGTCGCGGGCTGTCTGGTAGTGCAGCGGAGACTGGGATGGGGAAAAGAAAAGGAGGGAAGAAGAAGAGGGAGAAAGAAGAAGAAGAAGAAGAAAGGTGAGGACGTCGCGACGGGAAAGAGAAGAAGAGAAAGAGAGAGGGGGGAGAGAGAGGGAGAGATATTTAAAATTATTTATTATTATTATTATTATTTTTTAGGGGGATTAGTCCTTTTCTCTTCCCATATTCAATTGCAAAATTGTGTCTTTTCATTCTCTATTTCATGATTTTTTTTTTTTTTTTTTTAATTAGGTCTTCTTTACAATTAAATCCCCACATAATCTTTATATTACCAATTTAGCTCGGATGGTATTTTTGTAAATTTTTATATTTTCCACATTGTGTACTTGCATGATCACGCCTAAAGCCTTTATACGTTCCGCTCATTTTTCTCTCAAATACACCCCAAAACTTGCCAACTACACGAAACCTATTACACAATAAAAAACACACCGTAAGAAGTATATATACAAAATTCTGCATAAAAAACCTGCCCAAAATATAGCAAATATCAATTCCCCCACACCTATTCCATGTTTGTCCTCAAGTATATGTCCAAACCAAAAATTGGAATACTCACTAGCGCAAAAATCATTTAGCCGTGTCATCAATTCTGTTAGATTCAAAGCATGCAAAAGTCAACTAACCTCACCAAATAGGGAATGTATATAAGTAAAGCTCTCACCCTCAAGTGCTTAGGCTATATTCACTCAAAGCACATGAAGTAAACGACGAATCCCATAGGCTTGCAATCAAATCAAATCAACTCCACAATTCATCAAGAAATTAATGTTCATAATCAAAAGTCTTAATTAAAGGTTGTAATGGGGCCATGTTTGAGGTAGGAAAGAGGATTTTAACCGCTAATGAGACCGATGAATTAATCTATCAATTCATCACATCATAATGAGCGCAAGTTGAATATATGAATGAACAAAAACAACACAATACTTTATAAGCGATGATCAATGCAATACTAGAACATATTTTCTTTCTTTTTCACGAGCCCTCTTTTTTTTTGTTTTTTTAAGGACTCGGAATATTTCTTTTTTCTTTTATTTTCTTTATTTTTCAGCCCCTTTTCTATTATTATTTTTTTATTTTAAAGGGGCTAGATAATTAGATACTTTTGGCAAAAATATATATGAATTTATAAATGTGCCACAATATGTATACTTTCAAGTACAACTTCGGAATAATATCGTGTAATGAATGCAACTCTGAATAATCTAATGTAATGAATCAAAGAACAATCCCTCAAGTTTCAATGGGTTCAAGTAAGCGTTTGACTTAATCCAATAAAAGGCTTATCGACTTGGGTTTAAATATAAACTAAGAAAAATAAGACAATAACATTAAGCTCAAACTTGGTTCACTAAGAGATAATATAGATGAATATATGAAACTAAGGCCAACACGGGTAATCCTAGTGCGTTATCATTTTAACCCCATCAATTCTCAATAACGCGGAGTCAATAAGCATAAGCAAACAAGTTCTAGGTAGTCAAATACAACATATGTTCACACAATCCAAGAAAAGTTGAGCATATATGATATGTATGTGTTGAATTTGCTCAAATAAGGTTCAAACAACTCACTCAAGGGTTCATTGTTCTTTGTTAGAAGGCTAAACACACTTATCAACTAACTTCATCAACAAACACGGAAAGGTTCTAATGAACTAAGTAGTCACAACAACCTCGGCTCAAAATATACAAGAGGACATGCAGAGAAGTGATCAAAATAAGACATTATATCACATCAAAAGTTCTAATCTCCCCCACACCTAATTGAGACAATGTCCCTATTGGAACAATAAAGATAAAACAAAAGAGACAGAGAAAAGAAACTTTTCTGGAATAGATGGGGCGACCGGTCACTGACAGATAGACCGACGACGCTCGCACTAGTCGAAGTAGTATGAGGGAATCCGACCCTCGCACTTTAGACATAGTGCCTGCACACAAAAAAATTCAACAACTAAATAACAAGTCCACAATAAACTCCAACATCGAGAACAATTTCATAATCAAACATTCAAATGTTAATCAACAATCTCAATCACCCAATAATCTCTCACAATCATCTATATGCATCCGTTTATCAATCCGATCAAAGAACTCTAAGAAAATCACCAAAATTAAATTATCACATCAACTGATTTTATATATATTCTAGGCAATAATCGATAGAGGTTAACCAAGGGAATGCAATATGGATTAAAAGTAGGAGAACTCCCTGAAAATCAAACCGAAGGTGACTCGTGGCTATGCGGGGAACGTGCGGACCGACTGATGGCTGAACCCGTGGTTCGAACCGGAAGAGAGGCTGTGACTGATGTAGGCTGTTGCGCGCGGAGAATTGTCTGGCTGGTCCGGCAGTTCTGCGGCGAACCGATGATCTGCTGGGTCTAGTGAACCGGAAGGGATGAAAAATTGAGAGAGCGGAAGCGAGGGGGCGTCGGCTGTTTATGAGAGAGAGAAAAAGATATTAGGGTTTAAATGGTGTAATAATAATTATTATAGTAATAATAATAATAACTATAATAAGAATAATAAATATAGTAATAATAATAAATATAGAAGTAAAAAATTAGACTTTAATGAATATAATAATAATTATTATTATAGAAATAATAATAAATATATTAATAATAAATTTAATACTTATAATAATAAAAAATATAATAAGAATAATAAATTTAATAATAATAATAAATTTAATAATTTCCCAAAATAAACCATTTTTTATGCAATTTTTCAGAATGTAAGGCTTCATCAGGGGTGATCACGCCTAAGAAAGTTTTATATTCTGATTTCTTTAAAAATTTATTCATCTCATCAATCACAACATACTGGATGCGTGGTCACGTCTACGAACCTTGTCCATTCTGCTGTATTCCACCCTGAACACTATACCTGCATCAAAACACCACATATAAAGTATGACACTGACTCAGGAACACAACAAAAACTCAAAGCAAACAAAATAAAATTAGAACACTTGGGTTGCCTACCAAGAAGCGTCTTTGTTTATTGTTGGTGGCTCGACACAATGTCTCTTAAGCTAATGACGCGGCTCAAAAAGAGCTATGGATTCCACTTCCTTGCTCTGGAACCCTTCATAATAAGGCTTAAGACGATGTTTATTCACAATAAACCTTTTATTCGTGCTAAAACTTTGAATCTCAACTGTACAACACGGAAACACATTAGTTACCACAACTGGACCTATCCAACGATAACGATGTTTACCCAGAAAAATCTTAAGATGAGAATGATGAAACAAAACCTTTTGACCAGCCTTAAAATATTTTCTCAAAATATTTGGATCATGAAATTTCTTACTATTTCCTTTATAAATTCTCGCATTCTTGAAAGCTTTGTTTTGAATCTCCTCAAACTCTTGCAATTGCAATTTTCTTCTTTCTCCAACTTCAAAGACTTCCTGCACATTTTGATCAAGGACATCTACACAATACAAAGCATGAGATTCTACGGGATCATTCGATTCATCAAAAATATTGATATGAACTTTAACACCTTCGAATTCCATGGTAAGTGTCCCTGTTCTAACATCAATTTTTGTGTGTGCAGTACACATAAAAGGATGTCCAAGCAGAATAGTTGAATGATTAGGCAAATTTTCATCATGCATATCTAAAACATAGAAATGAACATGAAATATTAACTCATTCACTTGCACAAGAACATCCTCAATTATCCCTTCGGGGTAAGCGTTAGTTCTATAGGCTAGTTGAATTATTATCCCCGTTTCTTTCAAAGGCCCAATGTTCAAGAGTTAAAAATTGACTTAGGCATAGCATTTATAGCTGCACCTAAATCTAGCATAGCTCTTTTGATTTCCATCTTACCTATCTTGCACGGGACTATAAACATACCTAGATCTCTGCATTTTTGTGGCAATTTCTTTTGCACCACGGCGGACACAGTCTCTCTAGCTAGCACATTTTCGTCCCCTCTCAAATTCTTCTTCTTGGTACAAAGCTCCTCAGAAATTTGGCATAAAAAGGGACTTGCATAATTGCGTCAAGCAAAGGAACGCTTAACTCCGCTTTCTTAAACATCTCCATGATCTCATTGTCCTTGTCGTTTTTAGCCGGTTTCGCTAATCTGTGAGGAAATGGAGTAATATTAAAATTGGATTAAGTAGGAGGTTTAGAATTCACCTGATTAGTTGACTTGTTCGCTTCTTGTTGATCTCCTTCTCAATCTCCTATTTGGTTTTCTCTTTTTGTGCAACAACCTTCGGACCTTCTAGCTCTTTACCACTTCGCAAGACCATTGACCTAACATTGCTCAGGTTCATGTGGATTTGAGCCGGTAGCTTGCCTTTCTCCCTTTCTTTCATTTCACGCACCTCTTTCACAACTTGAGACATTTGATCTTCCAAGTTTTTAATTCCTTGTTCTTGTCTCTTGTTGAAAATGTAAAAAATTAGAAGCAATTGATTTCACCATATCATGTAGGGAGTAGGAAGTTACCAGGAATGGGAGCTTGCGGCATTGACATTTGTTGTTGTTGTGCATATGATTGGAAAACCGGTGGTTGTTGCTGGCCATAGGCTTGATGATTCCCATAACTAAAGTTGGGGTGGTCTCTCCATCCCAGATTATATGTATTCGAATATAGGTCATAAGCCCTTCTTGGTGCAAATCCTGCAACATTCACTTCCACCCCCTCCAGCAACATAGGACAACCATCGGTAAGATGCGCAACATTCGTGCAAATTCCACATGGCTTCACTTGAGCATTTCCTACAACAAGTTTTTTCAAAAAAATAGTTAATTCACTCACTTGTTGTTGTATAGAAGAACTTACCTCGGCAGCTTCCTTAACATCCACGTCATCCCTTGGTCCATATTGTTGGGAATTCATGGCCATATCATTCAACAAATTCCAAGCTTCTCTCGGAGTCTTATTCATGAGAGCTCCTCCACTGGCACCATCGATTATCCTCCTATCAATAGAAATTAGTCATTCATAGAAATATTGAATTAAAAGTTGCTCAGACATTTGATGTTGCGGACACATAGAAATTAACTTATTAAATCTATCCCAATATTCATATAATGACTCCC